CATGGAGAAGGGGGTCGGGCCAAAGAATAAGCATGCCTGTTTTGATAAAGATCGGTCAATATTTAGCGGTTCAAATGGACCCTGACTTTTGTGTGAAAAATGACAAAATTCTGTAGCATATATATTTACCACTGAAGGACATAGACCCGGGAAGTTGATATTATATCCAAGAGGAGTGGGTGACCTTTAAATTAAGACCAATTATATTATTGTATGTGCTCGGATGTGAGAGTTACACCTAAATATTTACAAGTATCTCCGTATTCGTATATTATTTAGTAACCCATTATCACTCTAGAGAGCGGAACTATATCGCTGATCGCTTTGAAATGTTCCATGAGGTACCGGGTATGGTCAAGGACAACGCCTCTAAATTTCTGTGATGATCAGATAATAATTTTGGAATGAAGTGCACCGAAAACTTAATTTTTTGTTTTATTTTCGAGTCGATCTATAGACCACAAATGAAAGCCGAACATCAAAACACAACCCACGGTGAAGGAAATCTTGACAATAGCTGTACTGAATACTCGTAATATGTCAGTGTGAGGAAGAGATGCTGTTTACCTCTATCGGGCAAGAGGGTGTAAATATCACGAAATATTGCCCAGGCTCGGAATAAATATCCGCAGAAAATTTGAGTTCCGCGGTAGTTGTGTAGGGTATCGTATGGTCGGCCCCGTCCGACTATACTGCTCCGCTCACTGGTTATTTTTATTGTAGTATAACAACAACACACATCCCAATAAAATTTCAGTTTTTAAGTCAAGTTGAACTGATTAAAATTGTTATCTAAACTCAAGATCTACAACAGCAACGCCAGCATTTTTTGTCATCTCTTATTTGAATGGGCCATGAATTAGTCAGGACAACCCGCTGGGCCTTAAAACAAGACATGGCTTGGTTATTTTCTCGGTTTATTGGAATTTATCATTTTATGATTAAAAGTGGTACAGATTTGTTTAACCACAAAGAGGCTACGAACAAAAAAGACAACAACAAAAATAATGACACATAACCTCAAATTTGCCGGACTGCAAATTCTTAGAAATATCCAAGACAGAAAGCTACATTTTTGCTCATCCACACATACTATCTTTCATCTCTATACGGATTACCTTTAAATCCAGATTTACTTCACTTTATAGCTGAGAAATTCGTCCATGCCTCCTAACCTTGCAGAGAAGTTGTTCTTCTTCTTTTAAAAATCCACGCCTCATAACCTTGCAGAGAAGTTGTTCTTCTTTTAAAAATCCACGCCTCATAACCTTGCAGAGAAGTTGTTCTTCTTTTAAAAATCCACGCCTCATAAACTTGCAGAGAAGTTGTTCTTCTTCTTTTAAAAATCCACGCCTCATAGCATTGAAGTTGTTCTTCTTCTTTTAAAAATCTACGCCTCACAGCATTGAAGTTGTTCTTCTTCTTTTAAAAATCTACGCCTCATAGCATTGAAGTTGTTCTTCTTCTTTTAAAAATCTACGCCTCATAGCATTGAAGTTGTTCTTCTTCTTTTAAAAATCCACGCCTCATAACATTGCAGAGAAGTTGTTCTTCTTCTTTTAAAAATCCACGCCTCATAACCTTGCAGAGAAGTTGTTCTTCTTCTTTTAAAAATCCACGCCTCATAGCATTGAAGTTGTTCTTCTTCTTTTAAAAATCCACGCCTCATAACCTTGCATAACCTTGCAGAGAAGTGCTTATTTTAAAAATCTACGCCTCATAGCATTGAAGTTGTTCTTCTTCTTTTAAAAATCTACGCCTCACAGCATTGAAGTTGTTCTTCTTCTTTTAAAAATCTACGCCTCATAGCATTGAAGTTGTTCTTCTTCTTTTAAAAATCCACGCCTCATAACCTTGCAGAGAAGTTCTTCTTTTAAAAATCCACGCCTCATAGCCTTGCAGAGAAGCTGTTGTTCTTCTTCTTTTAAAAATCCACGCCTCATAGCCTTGCAGAGAAGTTGTTATTCTTCTTCTTTTAAAAATCCACGCCTCATAAACTTCCAGATAAGTTGTTATTCTTCTTATTTTAAAAATCCACGCCTCATAAACTTGCAGAGAAGTTGTTATTCTTCTTCTTTTAAAAATCCACGCCTCATAGCCTTGCAGGGAAGTTTCTCTTCTTCTTCTTTTAAAAATCCACGCCTCATAGCCTTGCGGGAAGTTCCTCTTCTTCTTCTTTTAAAAATCCACGCCTCATAGCCTTGCAGGGAAGTTCCTCTTCTTCTTCTTTTAAAAATCCACGCCTCATAGCCTTGCGGGGAAGTTCCTCTTTTTCTTCTTTTAAAAATCCACGCCTCATAGCCAGGCAGAGAAGTTGTTATTCTTCTTTTGAGAAGTTCTTATTCTTCTTCTTTTAAAACTCCACGCCTCATAGCCTTGCCGAGAAATTCTTATTCTTTTAAAAATTCACCCCTGATAGTCTTGCCGAGAAATTCTTATTCTTTTAAAAATTCACCCCTGATAGTCTTGCCGAGAAATTCTTATTCTTTTAAAAATTCACCCCTGATAGTCTTGCCGAGAAATTCTTATTCTTTTAAAAATTCACCCCTGATAGTCTTGCCGAGAAATTCTTATTCTTTTAAAAATTCACCCCTGATAGTCTTGCCGAGAAATTCTTATTCTTTTAAAAATTCACCCCTGATAGTCTTGCCGAGAAATTCTTATTCTTTTAAAAATCCACGCCTCATAGCCTTGCCGAGAAATTCTTCTTCTTTAAAAATCCACGCCTCATAGCCTTGCCGAGAAATTCTTATTCTTTTAAAAATCCACGCCTCATAGCCTTGCCGAGAAATTCTTCTTCTTTTAAAAATCCACGCCTCATAGCCTTGCCGAGAAATTCTTATTCTTTTAAAAATTCACGACTCATAGCCTTGCCGAGAAATTCTTATTCTTTTAAAAATCCACGCCTCATAGCCTTGCCGAGAAATTCTTCTTTTAAAAATTCACCCCTGATAGCCTTGCCGAGAAATTCTTATCCTTTTAAAAATCCACGCCTCATAGCCTTGCCGAGAAATTCTTCTTTTAAAAATTCACCCCTGATAGCCTTGCCGAGAAATTCTTCTTCTTTAAAAATCCACGCCTCATAGCCTTGCCGAGAAATTCTTCTTCTTTTAAAAATCCACGCCTCATAGCCTTGCCGAGAAATTCTTCTTCTTTTAAAAATCCACGCCTCATAGCCTTGCCGAGAAATTCTTCTTCTTTTAAAAATCCACGCCTCATAGCCTTGCCGAGAAATTCTTATTCTTTTAAAAATCCACGCCTCATAGCCTTGCCGAGAAATTCTTCTTCTTTTAAAAATCCACGCCTCATAGCCTTGCCGAGAAATTCTTATTCTTTTAAAAATTCACGCCTCATAGCCTTGCCGAGAAATTCTTATTCTTTTAAAAATCCACGCCTCATAGCCTTGCCGAGAAATTCTTCTTTTAAAAATTCACCCCTGATAGCCTTGCCGAGAAATTCTTATCCTTTTAAAAATCCACGCCTCATAGCCTTGCCGAGAAATTCTTCTTCTTTTAAAAATCCACGCCTCATAGCCTTGCCGAGAAATTCTTCTTCTTTTAAAAATCCACGCCTCATAGCCTTGCCGAGAAATTCTTCTTCTTTTAAAAATCCACGCCTCATAGCCTTGCCGAGAAATTCTTATTCTTTTAAAAATTCACCCCTGATAGCCTTGCCGAGAAATTCTTCTTCTTTAAAAATCCACGCCTCATAGCCTTGCCGAGAAATTCTTCTTCTTTTAAAAATCCACGCCTCATAGCCTTGCCGAGAAATTCTTCTTTTTTTAAAAATCCACGCCTCATAGCCTTGCAGAGAAGTTCTTCTTTTCTTTTAAAAATCCACGCCTCATAGCCTTGCAGAGAAGTTGTTCTTCTTTTTTTAAATATACGATCCCTCACCTCTCAGTTCGTGTATAAAGACTCCATTTCCGACTTCCTGATCTTCAGTTCGTCTATAAAGACAACCTGACCTTCAGTTCGCCTATACAAACTCCCTTACCTTCAGCTTGTCCATACCGACTCCCAGGCCTTCAGCTCGCATATACAGACACCCTGGCTTTCAGCTCACCTATACAGACTCCCTGGCCTTTAGCTCGTCATTACAGACTCCCCGACATTCACCTTGTCAATACAGACTCCCTGACCTTCTCGTCTTCAGCTCGGCTATGGAGACTCCTGACCTTCAAATCGTATTTACAAACTCCCAGACCTTCAGCTCTTATATACAGACTCCCTGAATTTTAGCTCGTCTATACAGACTCTCTAGTCTTCATCTTGCCCATATCGACTCCCAGGCCTTCAGGTCGTCTATATAGACTCCATGGCCTTCAGCTAGTCTATAGAACCCCTATCATCACGTCTATAAAACCGCTTTCACCTCGTCCATAAAGACGCCTTTCAGTAAGTTCATACAGACTACCTGGTTAAGCTCACCTATAGAGGCTTCCTTATTCAGTCCGTCCATAAAGGTTCACTGCTTCAAATCATTTATGGAGACTCTTTTCCGTTGTATACAACAAAATCTCTGAACTTTAGCTTTCTTGTGGTTTCAACTTAGCTTTCTTGTAAAGACCGACATCCTTTTAGCTTGATAATAAGAACCTTCCCGACTTTTGACATGAGTATAAAAGCTCTTTGGCCTTTAGCTCTTCTATTAAGACTCCCATCCAATCGTCTATAAAGATTTTCTTCCGATCATCTATAAATACGGCCCTCAGTTAATCTATATGGACTTTTTTAGCTCGCCTACAGAGATCTCCGACCTTTTAGCTTCAAAAACCCCTTGACCTTTAACTTTTCTATAAAGATTCTCTTCCGATCGCCTACAAAAAGTTAATGTTCCGATTATCTTATAAATGCTTCTTTCGTCTCTTTAATGAAGATTTCATTCAGTTCACCTACAGAGACTCGTTTCTGGCTCCCTTCAGCCATGCCCATTCCTTAACCTCCTTCAAAAAAATTAAACCACATTTTCTTCGTTATTTTCCTCTTTTATTTGTCCTCTTATGCCGTTGTGAAAACCTCATAATCGGCTATGGTAAAATTATAATCCCCGAATAGGGTTTCATAGGAAGCACTAGGACCATCATACGAATGTGGCAAATTCGAATAGGAATCCTTGTTACTGTTACAATTATTGGCTATCAACAAATCTGCGCCAGCACCAAAAATGGGACCACAACTGAAATAGAAGATCCAAGATTATAATTTCAGAAATAATTTCGAAATTTCTTAATACTTACTCAGGATGATAACATATGGCATAGGGTTTCTTGACAATATCAAACTTCAAGGGCTGTTCCGAGCCTCCAGGATTCAGGGCAAACAAAAATGCCCTCTCAGAGTGTATATAAACGCCCTTGCGTGATGTTTTGGCCCAAGCCACATCTGTAAAGCCGCCACTTATTTCACCATGTGAACCCTAAAAGCAGGAGAATAAGAAGAGGAAAATGTTTTATTCACAATTTAAATAAATTGAAAGGGCTTATAAGGAAGATCAAGGCACCGGAGAAATTAACCGCTTTTGAATACCGAAGTTATGAAGAGTGTCTTCCTTACCAAACATATAACCATACAAGGAGCCACTCCGTCACAATAACGATGAAAGGCATTCGAATTAAAACCATGGGTGGAGGCACGATACAACAAGCGCCAGGATTGTTTGGGAGCACCAAACCTGTCAAATTAGAAGATCACAATTATTATAACCTCCAAATAATTCTCCCCTCCCCTTTACCAATTATTCAAAACACTTTGCAAATGCAGCTTCTCATTTCTCAGTATCTGCGATCCGGGAAACATGTTAACCATCAGCCGAGGCTGTAACCTCTTATCCGTTTCACTTTTATTTGCCGAGAAATTTAAACCACTTCCCGATAAACTATTAAACGCACTACCAACACCATTTGTAGCAGACCCTCCTCCACCTCCACCTCCAGCATATGTCGCCGTTTTATTGGAATTTTGCAAAGCAGCATAGCGATAACGTTCCAATGATAGCTCCATGGGAACAGCTCCCGTCGGTTCTACCTCCTCGGCAAATACTTGACTATCAATTAGAAGCAAGCGTACATGACATATGACACCTTGTAAATGTTGACACACCCGGGCACGTTCCTCCTCCGTCCAATGGGTGTGTGAAGGTTGAGTGACACCAGCCTGATTTTTGGCCCAGGCCAAAACACAACGCCACACATCTTCTTCCTCCAAACAGAACTGGAAAAATGGGGGAGGAAATTTGTTATTAAATGTTTTTCTATGAGAAAATGAAATAGGGGTTTTGTCTGCTCACATAATCCGATGATATCAGTTTGATAAGAGCTTCCTTTTTGAGGTTTAGAAAGGCATTAGTTTTTACACACTCTCGGGCATTCTCGCCAATATAGATAATGCAACGTTCCATAAAGGAGGCAGCACATTTTGCACCTAGAAAGAGAAAGGGTTATTATAATTAATAATGTATTAGATCTACAGATTCGAATATGGCTATATTCAAATGAGAACTTATTCGAATTTAGCAACTATCAAAGGAAAGGGTTACCACATGTAATTAACGCATTTTTCTTTTATAAAAACCAAAGTTTTTATTGAATTTTTTGATATAATTAACATCGATTTTATATATTTTATATTCCAATATATCTGTTATAATATTAACTCTAAATTTTCCAAAAATATATTTTCAATTACGTAATTTTATGTTTTTAGTTAACTTTATCAAGTTGTCTAGTAACTGCAAAGCATCTGTTGCATTGCCGGTCATTTTCAAAGCATACTTTCAGGCGTTAACAAATCAACTTGATACTATTTATAAAGACATTTTCAAGTAAATTTGTACTTATTTTAATAATCTAACGGACACATAAGGGTATATTTGCAATATGTTATCCTTCCTCAAAGGAATATAGGCGATATTTTCCCATTTATGAGGTTTATAAATCCTTCAAATGTTACTCCCGTTCATCGAAATCCTAATGATTTGCAAATTGCCATGAAATACTGCACTATTTCTAAAAATGCTGGAAAAGTAATTAATAGTGGCCAGGATGGGCTAGTCTTATCAAGATTACTGACATTCTAGCTTTTAAAGAATATAAACTATTATGTAGCTAGTAACTATGTCCACATATATACGATAATTTTTGAGATAAAAAATACAAACATATTTTATTTTCTGACATCACAACTGACTATTAAGATACAATGATATTTTATATACAATCCAAAAAACATAATTAATTTGAGCTGTGCAAAACCATGACACATAGTATAAGGACTTACAGTCCAATCGGTAAGAAAATTCCGCTAAAATCTTCAAAATTACATCCACCTCATTTAGAAATTTCACCAATGACCATAAAAAAACCAAAAATATGACACAACTTTTAAACACAGGCATTTCAAAAATGAAAGATTTTCTGCATATATTATTATTGACTCTCAAAGAACCCGATATGCCACTTCGGTTGGAAAATGAATATTTCATTATTAAATATTTCGAGCACTATCATGAACTCAGCCAGACGGATATGGTTAAGGGGACCCCCCACCTTCTCGGGGTCACATTTTTATACCCTACACAACTATGTTGTCAGGGTATTATAGCTTTGTGCAGCCCCAAATGTTTGTAACGCCGCGAAATATTGGTCCTAGACCGACCTTTAAGTATACCGATCGTCATATCTCGACTAGCTTAGTCGATCTAGACATGTGTGTCCGTCCGTCCGTCTGTCCATTATAATTTGTAAACACGATACAGGCCACAGTTATGGACCAATCTTCACGAAATTTTGCATGTAGGATGCGTTCTGGCCAATGAAGACCCCTATTGTTTTTGGAAAAGATCGGTTGATATTTAGGGGATGAAATGGACCAAATACTAAATTTTTGTCGGTTTTTCTGGTCGCTCCAGAGGCCGCAATTATGGCCCAAACACCGCGAATTCTTGCATGGAGAAGGGGATCGGGCCACAGAATAAGCATGCATGTTTTGATAAAGATCGGTCAATATTTAGCGGGTCAAATGGACCCTGACTTTTGTGTGAAAAATGACAAAATTTGTATTCTATGGCAAATATATTTACTCCTGGAGGATGTAGACCCCAGGAGTTGATAGCATATCCAAGAGGAGTGGTTGGCCTTTAAATTGATACCAAATATAGTGATGTATCTACTCAGATGTGGGAGTTACAGTCAAATATTTACAGGTGCTTAAGTATTCAGATATTATTTAGTAACCCATTACCACATTAGAGGGAGAAATATCGCGCTGATGGCTTTGAAATTGTTCATGAGGTTCCAGTTATGGTCAAGAACAACGCCTATAATTTTCGGTGATGATCAGATTAAAATTTTGGGATGAAATGGACGGAGAATATAATTTTTTGTGTGTTTTCGAGTAGAGTATAATCCAAAAATCACAACACAACCCAACGTGAAGGTAATCTGGACAAGTAATTAGAAGGACTGTACTGAATATTCGAAAATAGTAAGGAAGAGGTGTTGTTAACCTCTAATCGGACAAGAGGGGGCAAATATCACGAAATATTACTCAGACTCGGAATAAACATCCTCAGAAAGTTAGAGTTCGTGGTAGTTGTGTAGGGTATCGTATGGTCGGCCCCGTCCGACTATACTGCTCCGCTCACTGTTTTTTTTTTTTTTTTGATTTAATTCAAATCTACACTAATTCAAGAATGTCCCTACAAAATTTCAAGTGAAAATATAGCCGATTTATTGTGTCAGCATCAAGTGACGGCTAAAGGGCTTCTCAAACTTTAAACGCGTTTTTCTCTTTTGCGAATGGCGGGCACGATAACTCAAAAACCCAATCGATTTCAAATTTTTACACGTTTCTCTGTGAGTGTATAGCTATCGTATGAACTGAGAAGAACGGTGAACGGTGAAGATCTTTCTTATTTTTTAACTTGGTTTTTGGTCAAAAATCGGCGATTTTCCAAAAATATTTTTTCAAAGGTCCGCCATTTTGTTAATTTTATAGCGAAGTCAATAATCCTAGTTCATACGAGAGCCAGACATGTACTCTTTCTAACACCGTTGGATTTTTCGGATTCCGATGTTCCAGTGAGGAGTTATCATGCCCGCCATCAAAAATAGGGACTTCTCTTTAATTACAAAAACAACAACAAAACAATTACACAATTTTTTTTTCTTCTCTTTTTAATCTTCAAATATATATGTGCAAAGTTACAAACCTTAACAAGCATTGGTATTGATTTACCAGTCCATTGAAAATCTCGGAAAATTAAAATCGAGAAGGGAAAATTAAAATTGTGGGAACATATGACTTGTATTGAAAAAGTATACCCTCTATAAACCGAAATCAAATTGGTTGGAATCGTGGGCCTTAGAGTACCCAATATCGAATAGTTTGAAAATCCAATATGATTCCTAAAATTCGATATAAATATCATTTCTAAAGTCCTTATTTTAAACAATATAGTTGATTTTAAAAATGAAGTTGTAGGCCCCTTGTTTTTTAAAGAGAAAAAACTGTTAAAAATCTAAGATATTAATCGATTCGAAAACTGTGCAAAATTTTGGAAAACCGCATTGTGGGGTCACTTTCACATATACTTATTAGTAGGAAGCTTAGTTGTACATGAGGAACTCAAAATATTAAATTATATCCAATTCGGATGAAAATCGTGCCCAGCAACCCTGACATATCGAATATTTAGGGTACCGTCATATGAAGGCTACTTTAACTAGGATTGTTTGCTTTACATTGATAACCAAAACTTCCAAATTACAACCAATTCGTTTGAAATCGTGGCCAACATTTCCATAATAGCGAATATTTAGAGGTACCTTTACATGATTGCTATACTAACACGTGACCGATATACCCCATTTGATATACCAATGATCCTGGAAATACTAGGAATGTCAATTCAAAATTGCAGGGTCCTTTTTTAATTATTGCGATATCTATCTTAATATCAACAGACGGACATTTCTAAATCGGGACATCTGATCAAGAATATTCAAATATACTTTATGATGGTTTCGTTGATTCTTTCGAGGTGTTGCAAACGAAATGACAACTTTAATATACAATCAAATTTATGGTGGAGAGAAAATACAAGGGTACGAGCGTAACTTTGGCAGTCCCTATCTCCGGAAATATGGATTTCCGTTGTAATCAGGACCTCAAATACTATCCATGGTAAAAATCCGCAACGGGGTCCTAGACTTGTTCGTTTCTAAATATGAGTGAATTTGAATTCGACTCTAAAGAAATTTCAAAATCTAAAATTATTAATAGATTAATTTTTATTGTATAGCTTTATATTAAGAATAACAAATACTACCACCTGATTTCATGGGGTAATTAATTCGTCATTATTCACCCGCTTCAAAATTGCGGTAGCTTTTAAAACTGATTTGTTTCCTATTTCAACTATTTTCATATTGGAATTGTAATGTTGCCACAAAAAATTGCCCCAAGGCAGGCAAAGTTCAATAATCCATAATATTCGAAATACTCACTTTTTTCTCTCCATTAAAAATTCAAAAATTTTATTTTCATTGTTTTGTTTTTCTTGGTTTTGTCTTATAAAATTTGAGGTATAAATGTTTTTGCAGATACTTCATAGCGATTTTGTATTTGCTACAGAATCTCAAAATCTGTATAGAATTTATTTCGTGGTTTAAGTCTTGTCTATAGGAAAACAAAAAATGGAAAATTTATAAGGAATCTTAAGAGGGAGACAAAAAATTACTTTTTGTTTATATAAATTATACAAACTTATACTAGTAGATTACAGGGGATACGAAAGTTAAACACCCATGATCCAATGGGATACATTGTGGATCATTCTTGCTTTTGTTACTCTGCTTCTGGTGTCACGACTTCTCCCCCTGTTGTTTTTTTGTTTATTGTTCCAGCTCGAGACTTAACCTCAATCTTTTGAGGGGCTAACATTCTGTATCAGCGTAATATTGTCACCCTTCAGCATAATGCGTCCCAAATTTTTGCGCGTTCTTGTCTTCGTCCAAACCTCTTCGGCATCGTCCAACACCAAATTCATGTATTCATCAAAGCCCACGATGTGTCCCTCGATGCGGAGATTGACGTTTTCATACAGCCACACTTGGACGCGGGAACGATTTTGTAAATAACGAAAAATCAAATTGATGGGCTGGACCATCACCTTTTGTACTTTGGTGTTGCCTTTGAAAGACATGTTGGCAGCGGTTTTGTAGACTTTTCGAGGAGGATATCAGCAATTATCGTTAATTTTTTATTATTTTCCCTCGAGATTGACAAACGTTTTGAGGCCGGCGTCTAGGGATTTGTAGGTCGATTTATGGATTACAATGGCGGTAGTGAAATCAACGACGCCGTATAAAAACGGCTGAATTGTTCAATTAGGGTAGTTCACACACAGTATTTAAATGAAGTTCAACAACAAAATTAATTTGTTGTCGGAATTAGTCAATTGGTCTGGTTCCTGTATTGCAAGAATCTACTAATGATACACTTCCCGATGACATAGAGCAAATTTCGCTATGTCCGTCCATCTGTTAAAATCGCTATATTGATACATTTCGCAATTTTGGGAATTTTTAGCTTGTTGTTCAACTGAATCGGCTGTAATTTGGCATAATGTGTTCTATTATGGTAATACATCTTCCTACTAGAAATTATCAATATTGATCAACTTTTGAGGGTAGCCCCCATGTAACGCTATATCCCAAATTTCGGAGTTTAGGAACGTTTTTCAACTTAATTGCCTAAAATTTGGTAGTTTGGGTTCTCATATGGTAATACATCTTCGTACTAAAAATTATCAATATTGGTCACCTTTTAGGTTAGCCTCCATATGACCCTACATCCAATATTGGGGAGTTTGGGAACGTTTTTGAACAGAATTGGTTCTAATTTGATAATAGAAATTCTGACCGAGCTGCAAATATCCCTACTTAAAATTATCTATGTTGTTTCATATTCAGTGTAGCCCCTCATAGATCGATACCCTCCAGTATTCAGCATTTTGGGGAGTTTGGCACATTTTACAACATAATCAACTGTAATTTGATATTTTGAGTTCTCACTGGATTGGAAATCTTCCTACTAAATATATTCAAAATTGGAACATGTTTTAGGGTAGTCCTCATATAACGCTTCCCCCCAAAATTTGAGTATTTTGGAGAGCTGAGGTAAGTTTTCGCAACCAAATTGCTTTCAATCAATATTTAGGATTCTCATTTAGTAGAAAATCTCCCTGCCAAAAATTATGATTATTGGTCCAAGTTTCCGGATAGCTCCCATACAAAGGTACCCTTATAATTTCGGATTTTTGAGAAGTTTTTCACGTTTTTCAACCAATATAGCTGTATTTTCATTTTTATATCCTCTTTTGGTGTCAAAACTTCCTAGGTCCATATTCTGACATAGCTCACATATAATGATGCCCCCCCAATTTTCGGTATTTTGAGACTTTCAGCCGTATTTTCCAATCAAAAAGGACTGTAGTTTGGCATACCGGGGTTTTTGAAGCTGGCATACACCAGCGCAAAAACTGATCCATAGGTCCACGTTTTTTTATAGCTCCCATATAAATGCCCCGCCCAATTTTCGGTATTTTAAAGTTTTTAAACGCTTTTTCCAAATTAAAAATGCTGTAATTTTGGCTTACCGGGTTTCTGGAAACTGGCATACATCATGGTACATTTTCTGACATAGCCACCATATACGTTATATACGCCACATTTTTCAATAGAAATGGCTGTAATTTGTCATTTTGAGGTTTTAGATGATGATCTACATCTACGCGGAAAATAATCATTATAGGTCTGAGTTTTGGTACCTAGCGTATGTTGTTTATGGTAGATTATATTATTGGCATTTCGTCAACTTAAAATAGGACCATTTTCGCTATTTTAAAGGTCCAGTTGAAGTGTCCAAACAAACGTCTTTGTAATTTGTATTCTCTTTCTCGGAGAAAAAAATCCTTTTCGCGCAATATGGTCATCGATCTATATAAAATACTGCACTTTTTAAATATTTTTTATTGGTCCTGGCCGAATTATGCAATATATGTGTTAGTAATGCGGCACTTCCTGGTTTCTGAGTATGCAATACCTTTAGACTGAACATTTTATGAATGAATTGGGCGCCATTCGAAGTGTCATTGTTTGGCATTTGAAAAATTGTTGTTTGATAGCAGAAGGTACTAGGTAAGAATGAACAAAGAATTCTCATTGTGAAATTCTTTACCAAAATGTTGAGTTTTTCGGTTAAAGTTCCCAAATTGCGATCAATTTGGAGTCGGTCATAATAATGCTTCATCTTCATGTATACAAAGTTCAATTCACTCAGGAACTGAAGCCAGCTGACCATGGGACAGCGAAGGGAGTTCGTTGTGTATAAGAGAAGCAGACAACATGGAAATTCTGATTTTTCAGATAAAACCATTTTCAGTGGTGAGGTGCATTTCCATCTTGATAAATTTGCCAATAGGCAGAATTGTCGCATTTGCGGTAAGGAAAATCCTCAGCAAATTCATCATCAGCGTGTCACTGTATGGTGTGGTTTTTGGGCTGGAGGAATCATTGGACAAACAGTCAATGGTGTTCGGGATCGTCAAATGATAAGCATTTTTTCTTGTCTAGAATACATGAAATGAATGTGGTGGACATGTGGTTTCAACAAAACGTCGCTGCATGTCACACAGTAGAGAAGCAATTAAATTGCTGCATCAGTTCTGTTACATCGTATTTTGGAGACAAGAGTTGGGCGCCAAGATCGTACAATTTAACATCTTTAGATTTTTTTCTTTGTGTTTTTTTGGAAGTCGAAGGTTTACGAGAATAAACCGCCCCAACCATTCTCGATTTCAATTTTCAAACGCTTGGCAAATATTTCAACGATAGGTATGATTACCGATCACTGGAATCTGAATCTGAAAATTCCAACGAAATTAGAAGCAGTACATCTAGCTCTGGTATAATGTAGGATTATTGACTTTACTCGAAAATTAGTAAAATGGCGGTCGTCGGATTTTTTGAAAAATCGCCACGAACCAAGCTGGTAAATAGGGAAGTTCTCACTAGTTCACACGATAGCTAAATAATAGCTTTATATAATAAAGTTTTACGATTTTTTTAATATTTACTTATTTAAATTTTGTAAATTGTGTTCTATTTGGGACACCCTTTATAAATATCCATCGTTTAAATACCACTGAAATCGATAACACTAGCTGAACCTTCTTAATATAACATATCGTATATTCAGTGTATTAACTGAACATCCTTAATATAATATGCAGTGTGTTCAGAGTTAGTAGCTATGGTGTATGTTCAGTGTATGATAAAAATAGCTTGAGCTGTGTTCAATGTGAATGTGTCGGTACATGGTTTGTATCTCTGGTAGTATGTTATTGTGAATTGTTACATTTAGGTTATTGGTTGTGATTTTCACTAAACCAAATATATTGTTCATAAATACAATAGATGGCGCTACAATACAATTATGGTTTACTCGTTCAACCGGCAATGTAAATATAATAACTGATATGATAATAATTGTAAATATAAAAGTTTTCTCCACTCACCCGCCTTCTCATGAATTTCCATAACAGCTGTCAGGAAAGTACATGCATTGTCCACTGACAGTGTTGCTATGACATGATCTTCACAGGCCGAACGCAATTCACAGCAGCCCATATCCTGAGCCAATGTCATCATCTCAAAGACCCGAGAGTCTTGCAATAAAATCTGTAAAGCCATAATAAAGAGAGGATTTGATAAATAATTGAATTTAATTATATAAATATTAATTATTTTTCTTACCTTAGCTGTGTAAACATAGAGTATAAATTGTCGAAACACTTCCGGATGGACATGTGGCAGGCGTACTGATGTTGGTGAACCCGGCGTTGCTGGCAGCACTGTGCAGCCGGGTATGCGACAAAGTTCACCGCGTTTGTTGTTCTTGAAACTTTTGCAACTAAAAAGGGGAGAACAAATTTTTTGGAAATTATATTTTATTGAATACTGCATTCTTGATTTTTTTTAAAAATCCACTACTTATGGGGGTGTTTGAAAAAATATTTTTAAAAAAATCCAAGCCTTGTTGTTTTTAGGTTAAGGTTAAAAAAACCACGCTTTTATCAGTTTTTTTAAAAACATTTTTAAAAAGTCCGCGCCTTGGTTAGGTTCTTGATTTTTTTATCCAAGCCTTGTTTAGCTCCTCGAAAAAATGTTTATATCGCCCAAAAATTAAATCCAAATAATCTTGTTAACATTCCCATTAAAACATCAACATTTTATCCAGTTTATCGGCACCTTGTTAAATGTAACCAAATAAATTGTTATTATTTTAAATACTACTAACTTAATTCAATTAAAAATAAATATTCATGAAATTAATGGCTCTCCTACACACCTCACCTCATCCCCCTCGATGTAATAAACTTAATTACCCATGAAGGAAGCTACAAAATGGTTTTAATGATTCGAGGCCAAACAACATCGGCTCCTGTGTTAATCCAACAAAACGAATTATTTTTTTGTAAATCAATGCGGAACACCTATGGTGTGTGGCAGAAATAAAAACATAAAACGCTACAACAAATTCCCAACCACCACACCATTTGAAACTGAAACAGCAAAGGTCTGCTGACTGGCTGGTGGTTACACGAAAAAATGCCAAAAGAAATTAAATCATTTGCGGGGAAATCGCAAAAAATGTGGAAGTTTTAAATGAGCCACGACGTTGCAAGTGCCAGAAAAATGTTATGACGATAAGCTATCCACACACACACGTTCACTGGCACATAATGTGCAACAAAACAATTGCCACAATTAAAATGGTTTCACTAACAACATTGGCATGTTGCTCGTTATGTGTGTGCAACATTGAATGTTGGTTGTTATGTCCATTTTCGTCCAACGGCCAACAATCGTAACAGCTCTAATGACCAGCACCAGCACTACCACAAGCAACAGCGATAAGCGTTGAGAGTGAAATATGCGAGTAACCTTTCGTTAATGGGTTTGTGGCACATTTCAACAAATAATAGCAGCAGCAACAACAACAGAAGTTTCGGAATGGCAAAAATATGTTTCAGAGTGTGCAACATGCAACTTCTGTGTGTACAACAAATTTTTAGTGGCCAACAACAACAAAAAAATTAAAAAAAAATGTTTGATGGTTTTTGGCTATGACCTGTTGGCATGCCATATACCTTAACCACCCATGGGATGGATTTATTTTATGGAGAGATGTGTGGAAGATGTGTATTTTGAGGATCTTTAAAAAAATTATTTAAAAAATCCATGCCTTCTGTAGCTTCCTTCTGTACTAAATTCAGTACGCTATGCAGTATAAGAACTTTGGAACATTATTTTTATTAAATCGGACGAAAATATATATATGTAGATCTGAACCGATTTTCACAAAACTTAGCACACATCATTCCCGACTCAATTCAGTACGTTATGCCAAATTTCGTGTAAATCGAAAGATATATAGGGACTTTGGTGCACCATTTAGCTAAATTCGGACGAAAATATCTATGGGAGCTATACCTAAATCTTAACCGATTTTCACGAAACTCAGCACACATCATTCCAGACTCATTTCAGTACGCTATGGCAAATTTCGTGCAAATCGAAATATATATAGGGACTTTGGTGCACCATTTACCTAAAATCGGACGAAAATATATATGGGAGCTATATCTAAATTTGAACCGATTTTCACGAACCGTAGCTCATATCATTATAGGCTTAATTCAGTATGCTGTAAATTTTATAGACTTTGAATTCGTTCCAGTCTATAAAATTTCGTTCAAATCGAAAGATATATAGGGTTTTTGGTGCACCATTTACATTAAATCGGACGAAAATATCTATGGGAGCTATATCTAAATCTGCACCGATTTTCACGAAACTTAGCACACATAATTCTAGAATTTACTCAGTACGCTATGACAAATTTCGTGCAAATCAAAAGATATATAGGGACTTTTGTATACCAGTTACCTTAAATCGGACGAAAATATATATGGGAGCTATATCTTAATCTGGACCGATTTTCACGAAACTTGGCAGACCTCATTCTAGGCTTAATTCATTACGCCATGCCAAATTGCGTGCAAATCGAAAGTTATGTTGGGACTTTGGTGCACCATTTACAAAAAAATTGGACGAAAATATATATGGGAGCTATATCTAAATCTGGACCGATTTTCACGAAACTTGGCAGACATAACTCTAGGCTCAATTTAGTACGTTATGCCAAATTTCGTGCAAATCGAAAGATATAAAGGGACTTTGGTGCACCATTTACCTAAAATCTGATGAAAATATCTATGGGAACAATATCTAAATCTGAACCGATTTTCACGAAACTTGACAGACATCACTCTAGGCTCAATTCAGTACGTTATGCCAATTTGCGTGTAATTCGAAAGATATATAGGGACTTTGGTGCATCATTTTCCTTAAATCGGACGAAAATATATATGGGAGCTATATCTAAATCTGAACCGATTTTCACGAAACTTGACAGACATCACTCTAGGCTCAATTCAGTACGTTATGCCAATTTGCGTGTAATTCGAAAGATATATAGGGACTTTGGTGCACCATTTACATTAAATCGGACGAAAATATGTATGGGAGCTATATCTAAATCTGAACCGATTTTCACGAAACTTTGCAGACATCACTCTAGGCTCAATTAAGTACGTTATGCCAAATTTTGCGCAAATCGAAAGATATATAGGGACTTTGGTGCATCATTTTCCTTAAATCGGACGTAAATATATATGGGAGCTATATCTAAATCTTAACCGATTTTCACAAAATTTGGCAGACATCACTCTAGGCTCAATTCAGTACGCCGTGCCAAATTTCGTGCAAATCGAAAGATATAAAGGTACTTTGGTGCACCATTTACATTAAATCGGACGAAAATATATATATGGGAGCTATATCTAAATCTGAACCGATTTTTCCCAATTTAAATAGGGTTCTTGGGCCAAATAAATGAGCTGTGCCAAATTTCATCCAATTCGGATTATAAATGGGACCTGTACTTTGTTTACAATTTAACACCAACAGACGGATGGGCGGACGGACATGCATAAATCGATTCATAAAGTGAGTCTATGCATATTCTCAAAAGGAACTATGGGTCTATCTCGTTTCCTTTTGTCTGCAACAAACATATGAACACAGACATAATACCCTGTACCACAGTGCGGTGAAGTGTATAAAAATCCACGCCTTGGGAAGGCTTTGAAAAAATATTCTTTAAAAAATCCACGCCTTGGGAAGGTTTTGAAAAAATATTCTTTAAAAAATCTACGCCTTAGGAAGGCTTTGAAAAAATATTCTTTAAAAAATCCACGCCTTGGGAAGGCTTTGAAAAATATTCTTTAAAAAATCCACGCCTTGGGAAGGCTTTGATAAAATATTGTTTAAAAATCCACGCCTTGAGAAGGCTTTGAAAAAATATTCTTTAAAAAATCCACGCCTTGGGAAGGCTTTGAAAAAATATTCTTTAAAAAATCCACGCCTTGGGAAGGCTTTGATAAAATATTCTTTAAAAATCCACGCCTTGAGAAGGCTTTGAAAAAATATTCTTTAAAAAATCCACGCCTTGGGAAGGCTTTGAAAAAATATTCTTTAAAAAATCCACGCCTTGGGAAGGCTTTGAAAAAATATTCTTTAAAAAATCCACGCCTTGGGAAGGCTTTGAAAAAATATTCTTTAAAAAATCCACGCCTTGGGAAGGCTTTAAAAAAAATATTCGTTAAAAAATCCACGCCTTACGAAGGCTTTGAAAAAATATTCTTTAAAAAATCCACGCCTTGGGAAGGCTTTGAAAAAATATTCTTTAAAAAATCCACGCCTTGGGAAGGCTTTGAAAAAATATTCTTTAAAAAATCCACGCCTTGGGAAGGCTTTGAAAAAATATTCTTTAAAAAATCCACGCCTTGGGAAGGCTTTGCAAAAAATATTCTTTAAAAAATCCACGCCTTGGGAAGGCTTTGAAAAAATATTCTTTAAAAAATCCACGCCTTGGGAAGGCTTTGAAAAAATATTCTTTAAAAAATCCACGCCTTGGGAAGGCTTTGAAAAAATATTCTATAAAATATCCAAGCCTTGGGAAGGCTTTGAAAAAATATTCTTAAAAAAATCCAGGCCTTGTATAGGTCGTTTTTTCTTTCTTTTCAAAAATTAATTTTTTAAAAAATCTATATAAAATCCTCATAAAGAATTTTACCCCTCCCTTTGCTTCCTCACTTTTAATTGCTTTCTTGCACTGCAGATTTTCTTTGTTTTTTTTTTCTCTCCCAGCTAATTAAACACCTCATTATCGCAATCGGACTTACCGTGCCATCATTATAATGCGATGGGCATAGATGCGTTCCTCTTCACGGCCGCATATGAAGACCACATCGGCGCTATCTTGATCTTCGGACAGACGTTACAAATCATCAATGAGTTGAGGTAGGCCGGCCATAAATATTCTTTAAAAAATCCACGCCTTGGGAAGGCTTTGAAAAAATATTCTTTAAAAAATCCACGCCTTGGGAAGGCTTTGAAAAAATATTCTTTAAAAAATCCACGCCTTGGGAAGGCTTTGAAAAAATATTCTTTAAAAAATCCACGCCTTGGGAAGGCTTTGAAAAAATATTCTTTAAAAAATCCACGCCTTGGGAAGGCTTTGAAAAAATATTCTTTAAAAAATCCACGCCTTGGGAAGGCTTTGAAAAAATATTCTTTAAAAAATCCACGCCTTGGGAAGGCTTTGAAAAAATATTCTTTAAAAAATCCACGCCTTGGGAAGGCTTTGAAAAAATATTCTTTAAAAAATCCACGCCTTGGGAAGGCTTTGAAAAAATATTCTTTAAAAACTCCACGCCTTGGGAAGGCTTTGAAAAAATATTCTTTAAAAAATCCACGCCTTGGGAACGATTTGAAAAAATATTCTTTAAAAAATCCACGCCTACGAAGACTTTGAAAAAAATATTCTTTAAAAAATCAACGCCATGGGAAGGCTTTGAAAAAATATTCTTTAAAAAATCCACGCCTTGGGAACGATTTGAAAAAATATTCTTTAAAAAATCCACGCCTACGAAGACTTTGAAAAAAATATTCTTTAAAAAATCAACGCCATGGGAAGGCTTTGAAAAAATATTCTTTAAAAAATCCACGCCTTGGGAAGGCTTTGAAAAAATATTCTTTAAAAAATCCACGCCTTGGATAGGTCCTTGAAAAAATATTCTTTGGAAAAATCCACGCCTTGGGAAGGCTTTGAAAAAATATTCTTTAAAAAATCCACGCCTTGGGAAGGCTTTGAAAAGTATTCTTTAAAAAATCCACGCCTTGGGATGGCTTTGCAAAAAATATTTTTTAAAAAATTCACGCCTTGGGAAGGCTTTGAAAAAATATTCTTAAAAAAATCCAGGCCTTGTATAGGTCGTTTTTTCTTTCTTTTCAAAAATTAATTTTCTAAAAAATCTACATAAAATCCTCATAAAGAATTTTACCCCTCCCTTTGCTTCCTCACTTTTATTTGCTTTCTTGCACTGCACATTTTCTTTGTTTTTTTTTTCTCTCCCAGCTAATTAAACACCTCATTATCGCAATCGGACTTACCGTGCCATCATTATAATGCGATGGGCATAGATGCGTTCCTCTTCACGGCCGCATATGAAGACCACATCGGCGCTATCTTGATCTTCGGACAGACGTTGCAAATCATCAATGAGTTGAGGTAGGCCGGCCATAAATTGGCCATCACAGCCGGGTGTGGGACAGGGCGGTGGTACACGTGTACCCATAATAATTTGTTGTGGTTAATGTTGTGGTTGCAACTAAAAACAACAACAACAATAACAACGAAAAATGTGCACCGCAATTTAGCTGCAGTTTTTTTTTATGTTGATTGTTTTTGTGTGTGGTGCTTGTGTCTTAAGTCTTTTGTATTTAGCCGCCAAATGAGAGAGACGATCAAGTTTGTTGTTTAAGTCTTTTTGATTTATCGGTTATTTCGGGCAGCAAAACAAGTTTTTTGGATTATTTTAATTTAGAATACACAAATATTTGAAGAAATTAATTAAAAAAAATATTTTTTGTATTTTGTTTTTTTTTTTTGTTTTTATTTAAATTATTTAAAATTAACCGTTAATTTAATATTCTTTTGTTTATGTTTTTTTCTTTTTGGCACAAACATATGTTTCTCTCTCTCACTCTATGACTCTTAGTAAATAATCTCCCTAAAAAAGTGAATCAAAACAAAACAATTTTTTTGAAATGACATTCCACACTCTCTCTCTCGTCTTGGTTTGTACTCTCCGGAAATACAACTCTTTTCGCAGAGGCACTTGAAATATTTGGTTTGTATATTTTTTGTAGTTGTTTTTTTTTTTTGGGTAAACAAAAACTTCTTCCTCAACGCCAGCCACCAAACAGTTCGGGTAAATACACAACAACACCAGCACGCGCTTTTTTCCCGCAGTAAACTGGTTTCAGTTTGGCTGGATGTTGATGGCGATGATGATGATGAAAAAAGCCAAAAGCAGCCACTACTCCATTATCGAAGTTCACTTTTTTCACTAAATTGTTGTTGCTTATTTTATTTTAAATATTTATTCAAAAAAACACATTAATCACTTGTAAATATGTATTTCAATATTGATTTTGTAATATTTGAATATTTTTCCCAAAAAACTATTTTTCTTTTGAAAACCTTCCCAATTTTTAGGCCTGTTTTTTGCCACCTAATTTTACAAGGGCCAACTGAGGCGTGGATTTATTAAAGAATATTTTTCAAGGGCCAACTGAGGCGTGGATTTATTAAAGAATATTTTACAAGGGCCAACTGAGGCGTGGATTTATTAAAGAATATTTTACAAGGGCCAACTGAGGCGTGGATTAATTAAAGAATATTTTTCAAGGGCCAACTGAGGCGTGGATTTATTAAAGAATATTTTACAAGGGCCAACTGAGGCGTGGATTTATTAAAGAATATTTTACAAGGGCCAACTGAGGCGTGGATTTATTAAAGAATATTTTACAAGGGCCAACTGAGGCGTGGATTTTTTAAAGAATATTTTACAAGGGCCAACTTTTAAAGAATATTTTTTCAAGACCAACAAGGCGTGGATTTTTTAAAGAATATTTTTTCAGAGACCTCCACAAGGCGTTGATTTTTTAAAAAATTTTTTTCAGAGACCTAAAGAATATTTTTTCAAAAAATATTTTTTCAGACCTCCAGCAAGGCAAGACCTCCACAAGGCGTGGATTTTTTAAAGAATATTTTTTCTAAGCCTTCCCAAGACCTCCACAAGGCGTGGATTTTTTAAAGAATATTTTTTCTAAGCCTTCCCAAGACCTCCACAAGGCGTGGATTTTTTAAAGAATATTTTTTCTAAGCCTTCCCAAGACCTCCACAAGGCGTGGATTTTTTAAAGAATATTTTTCCTAAGCCTTCCCAAGACCTCCACAAGGCGTGGATTTTTTAAAGAATATTTTTTCTAAGCCTTCCCAAGACCTCCACAAGGCGTGGATTTTTTAAAGAATATTTTTTCTAAGCCTTCCCAAGACCTCCACAAGGCGTGGATTTTTTAAAGAATATTTTTTCTAAGCCTTCCCAAGACCTCCACAAGGCGTGGATTTTTTAAAGAATATTCTTTCAGAGACCTCCAAAAGGCGTGGAGGGTTTCCTCACATTAACAGAAGGCATCTAAGGTCATTTGCTGATGTCTATGTCTTCATAGGTCTTCAGTATAGTAGCAGACAACTATCCCAGAAATTGTGGATAGCCGTAAAATGAATCTGACTTCAATAGAGTAATAACATTTGGCTACGAAGAACATCTCCGAGACTTCTACAAATTAATAGAAAGTCCCTGATGTCTTCTGAGGCCACAAATGCCTTCTACATAGGAATACAAAGAAATATAAAACACCTAAAGTCCCGTATGTAGGACAGAACGCCGTCAGAAAACAAACTTTTCCTATGTCATCTCTGGATGATTCAGGAAAGGCAACAAAAGACCTTCAGGACTCTTTGTACCGTACCTAAAGGCCTACGCAACCTCCTAGTTACAGATGGTCTCTGAGGAATTCTGTATATCAGATGGTTTCGGACGACTTCTTAAGGTTTCGGGATGAGAATTGAAGTTCTCGTGTAGTAACATAAGACCTATAGGACTCTCAGTACCGTATCCAAAGGCAACCTTCTCTATAGTAATAGATGACTTCTAAATGACTACTTATAGTCTCTGGAGACTTTTGAATGTCAATAGAAGGTCTCACAGGTCTTCAGTGTAGTAGCAGAAGATCGTCAATACCCTCTATATCTAACCTAAAGGCCTCCGCATCCATCGCTATCGCAACAGATAACCACTGACGACTTCTAGTACAGTACAACATTGTATATAGTAACGCATGAGCTCTGAGGCATCTGAAGGTCTCTGAGGACTTCTGAACGACAACAAATGGACTCTCAAATCTTCTATGTTGTAACATAAGATCTTAAATACTCCCGGTATCGTATATGTGGTCTCCTGAAACTATAACTGAAGGACTCTGAGGACTTTTGAATGACAACAGAAGGTCTCTTCGGTCTTCAGTGTTGTAAGAGAATAGCTCTAAGACCATATATATCGTACCTAAAGGCCTCCGAACCCATTGATATCGTAACATATGGACACTGATGATTTCCCAATGGCAACTGAAGGTTTCTGAGGATCTTAATATAGTAACATACCCTGTTAAAAGAACTTACATTCTTTTGTATAGTAGCAGATGGGCTCTGAGACATCTGAAGGCCTCTGCGGACTTCAGGTTTTCAATGCCGTAACCGAAGATCTCAGAAGGTAGGAAGGAAATTTTCTGAGGGTTCCAGTATGGTAACATACCCTCTTGTAGGTCTGCTATAGTAACAGAAGACCTCTAACAACCTCTATATCGTACGTAAAGGCCTCCGTATCAATCTCTATCGTAACAGATGACCTCTGAAGACATCTAAATGACATCTGAATGGTCTCTGAGGACTTCTAAAAGGCTCTGAGGAATTCTTAATGGCAACAGAAGGTTTCGGTCCGACATCTGGAAAAATATCAAGATGATTGTTATTTAAAAATTTAATATCCTTTATATTAAAGTGTGCGTATTGCAAAGGTCCTTTAACACAGAATCCTTTGAATGTCGCTGGAGTTTTTTTTACAAGTTTTTTTTTTGTTATTTTATTTCCTCCAATAATTGATAAAATATTTAAATCTTATTGTAACACATGACAATAAAAAAAATTGTCAAGTTTGCTTTTCTCTACGGTTATTGTAGTAGTTTTTATAGGAGAACTATATGTGCGTGTCCGCACATACAAACATATGTAAATATGTATGTAAGCACAGGGGGTATTTCAATGCGAACAGACAACAAAAGCTCTACTCAACAACAGAAGCGAGCGAGGCATGGCATATTCATATCAACAACAGATTTACAAATATTTCGATGGTGTATGAATGGCCTGACAGACGGACAAACACACACACATGAGATGAAAAAAAAACAACAACATTTTGTTGTCTGTCACTCTGTGTCATCACCAACTGTGTATAGTGGCTGACAACGAGATCATCATAGGGAAATTATCATCATCATCAGCGGCGGCGGCAGCGGAGATGGTGGTGATGGCAGCTGCAAACATTCAACCATTCATCCAGCCATCCATCCCGGCAGTCTTTCAGCCAACCATTCATCTATTCATATATCGTTTTACCAACACCATTGCCACCATCATCGCCGCAACCTATCACAATGTCACACATGTTCGGTGTTGCCAAACCAAACTGAGAACACGGATTTCTTTTTTTTTGTGAAAATCCTTCAGTGTTCTTCTTCGCATGGAAACGAACAAACGAGAGTATCATTACAATTCCATTATGGCTGGGTATGACTGACTGAATGTTTGTCTGTCTGTCTGCCTATGTGTCATGTGTTTTGTCCACTTACCGCTTTCCTGTCGTAATGTGTGAAGGTGCAACCAACACACATCATATCATTCGCAGGCAACAAACAGACAGTCAGTCAGAGAGTCGTCATAACAGCCAACCCACCAACGAAACATCAGTCAGACAGTCAGCCCAGTCAGTCATTCATTCATCGTTAACAAAAGAAGTGTTGAATGTTTCTCTTGAAGTCAGTAATACTCACACACACACAGGCACACCAATACCAATAGTTGCATCATTATCAACAACATCACTTCGTGTGTGTTGAGCAACAACAAAAATATGCAAATTTAAACGAATTTCAATCATACAATCATCAGGAGCATCATCAGGCATAAACAGTGGGTCAGGAGGGTACACAGATAAAAAATCCACGCCTTGCGAAGGCTTTGAAAAAATACTCTTTAAAAAATCAGCGCCTTGCGAAGGCTTTGAAAAAATACTCTTTAAAAAATCAGCGCCTTGCGAAGGCTTTGAAAAAATACTCTTTAAAAAATCAGCGCCTTGCGAAGGCTTTGAAAAAATACTCTTTAAAAAATCCACGCCTTGGGAAGGCTTTGAAAAAATACTCTTTAAAAAATCCACGCCTTGGGAAGGCTTTGAAAAAATATTCTTTAAAAAATCCACGCCTCGGGAAGGCTTTGAAAAAATATTCTTTAAAAAATCCACGCTTTGGGAAGGCTTTGAAAAAATATTCTTTAAAAAATCCACGCCTTGGAAAGGCTTTGAAAAAAAATTCTTTAAAAAATCCATGTTGGGTGCTCGAAAAAATATTCTTTAAAAAATCCACGCCATGTTGGGTGCTCGAAAAAATATTCTTTGAAAAATCCACGCCATGTTG